AAGGGAGGTTATTTACAAAGCTGTTTCAAACTGCATCCTAGCAAAGGAAGGTGGAAATCTAGAAGCAAATAGCCTACTTTGGAGTTTGGATTTCTCATTAAAACACAGAAATTGTGTGGCACACCTCCACCATCCAGTGCACAATAGAATGTGGTAAATAACCAGAAATCAATGATAATAAAAAATTGAATCAATAATAAGCAGAATCAGACAATGAAATGATTAAATTTGAAAGATCTATGCACCTGAAAGACTGGTTATATAATGCAAAGCGATACTCTCTAAAAGGTACAAATCATGGATATTGGCTTAACTTCTCTCCCACACTCCTTTTCCTGTTGCCTTTCACCATTGGAAGCTATCTTAAAATTAACACCATGAGCATCATCATTAATGCCCCTTTCTTCAACTGCTTCACCATAATCAGCACAAATAGGTGCATCTGGAAGACGTAAATAAACAAAAGAAAGAAAGGATAAAATTAGCTAAGAGAGTTGATAGGACGAAGAGATTTAAGTATCAAAATCACTCCAGTAATGTGAATTCCAGATTGTAATGTATTAAGTTTGGTTTATAATCTATTAAATGCATATAAGAATTAATCAATTTAGACAATGACACTTTACTTGTACTGCTTATGGTTAAGGAAATGATTTCTTGGAGCTCAGAATTGAATTATTACATCTTTTGGTGGGCAACTGGATTTCAACTTTGCAGAATCACAAACCCATATATTTGATAATGAACCTGCACCTCGCACATGAATATGCAAATATCATATAAAAGTAAAAACCAAGCTTAGAAAAATTGCTCAAAATGGACCATATGTAATATAGGATCAAAGAAATTACAAAACACGTTACATTATTATGGTTCCAGGTGAAACATAATATTAATTTTGAAGAGTAATTTAGGATCAGAATACAGATACAGATAGAAAATAAACATAGTAGAATCAATACTCACTACTTGGTAGTTTATGACACCAAAGTCTCTGCCAAAATCAGAAATGATATTACTTAGGAGTACTTCAAGTCCATCGGAGACCGGAGCCTGGGACGATTCCGTACTCTAGATCATGATCACTCATCAGAAATTGTTCCCGTACTCTGGATTGCAAATGATAGAAGAGGAATTGGAAAATAAATAAAATAAATAAATAAAATCAACATTCTTAAAATTAGAAATTGAATACTTAATCAATCAACACCTTACCTCTCTATAAAACCAATATTTTTCAAGAAAGGTTGAAGTAGGTTCTTATGATCCCATTCCACTGATTCCCACCATTCTTTTGACTCTTCATCTATCTTGATTTCTCTGAGATGAGATGGTTGGCCATTATCAAGCAGGGGAAGCTGCACAGGGATCCTCTTTAACTCCCAACATCTGAATATTGTAATTTCTTCAATAGAATCACAAACCATAACTCCTTTGTCACTGCAGATGCTCTTCAATTGGGGTAAATCCCACAAGTGTAATATCCTTAACTTGGGAAAGGTGAATTTATCTGATGATGCATCTGAATCTGATGATGCTATTATTTCCTCCATTTGTTTACATCCATTAACATGAATCTGCTCTAAGTTTTGGAAGGCCTGCAGCAGCTCAAGTGGAAGCAACTTCTACATTCCTGAACAAACCCAAATATGAAGCGTTTTAAGATTGGAAAAGACGTGCGGTGGTGTTGCTACTCCTTCCACTCTCACAAGTACACTCAATTTAGGCAATCCGATAAGAAACAGGTCTTCAAGCTTATCCAGTACTGGATAGGAGGATGAGTCCAAGTCAACGACGCATTCCATATCTTCACAAGATTGAAAAAGACAAATACTCAACTCGGTTGCCTTTTCTAACAAAGCTGCTTTATTTAAGCCGCTTCTCATGTTTCTACACCGCACCATCTCCAGGTTCTGAAGGTTATCTGGAAGCACCATACATTCTTCTCCTAAGTCACAATAATTAATACTAACCACAGCTTTCCACTGAGTAGTCAACAAATATTCGAGTCTTTCTCCTACTTTAATAAAGTAATCAGTAAGAATTTGGAAATCTTGAGACTTGACAAAATAATTGTAGCCTTGTATGTCATCGAATACACCATAAAAGGTCTTCAACTTGCTCAATCTCACAACCTCATCTCCTTTTATCTTCAATTTTCCATAAAATGACAAGTATTGGAGATTGGAAAGGTTTGATAACATTCCCATTGGAATCTCTTTTAGATTGTAACAAGCACTTAAATTAAGATACTCCAGACTAATCAATTTCTCCATGCCTTGAGGGACCACCTCAATCTTGGAACCACCCAGATCCAACTTCTTTAATGCCCTAAGCTTTGCTAAAGAAGGCAAATACCTTAACCTTGCACAACTCTGTAACCTAAGAGAAGTGAGCTTCTCCAAGTTTGAGATGGAATTAGGTAAAGCTTCAATACCAGTTTCAGAAAGATCAAGAACCTTCAATTCGGGCATACCTTCAAAGAAGGATTCTGGGATCTCGGACAAATTAGGATTATTTGACAATATCAAAGTTGAAAGAGTTGGACACTTTGGGCACAACCCAAGGGGAATTTTTGATATGTCATTCTTCATTAGAGACACCTTCTTAAGATCATTTCCCCACCCATGCTCATTTGGTACGTCTATCAATTTCATACCAACTTTTACCATATATCCCAATTCAGGACCAATGCTTTTGATAGCCATGTCTCTCAGTACATCATGCATCTTGAAAACATCACCACCCCAATCAACAGTTTTCTCTAACAAGCAATTCTTTACGAGCATATTTAAAAAGGTATGGCCCTTATCATAAGTTGCTTCTCTACTAGCCAATCCATCAATTAATCCTTCATAAATCCACCCTTCTATTAAGTTTTCTCTCAGAAATGGATAATCTTCAGGAAACAAGGAGCAATAAAGAAAACAGCTTTGGATTTCAAAATTATTCAAACGATCATAACTAAACCTTAACCTCTTAAATATCTTTTGATCTGAACCAGTCACACTCTTTACCCCTTCTCGTAGTTCAGTTAAGGCATTCTTCCACACATGAACATCATCCTCTCCCTTCATACTTTCTGCTATCACAACAATGGCCAGTGGTAAACCACCACACTCCTCCACGATGAGCTTCAAGATTTCTTCTAAATTTGGAACTTGTAGAATATGGCGCCCAACTTTATCTAAGAATAAGTTGAGAGACTCATGAAAAGAAAGAGGTTTCAATTTGACTATTTCACAGCCCATTTTTTGGCACACTTCAATGGATCTACTAGTGATAACTATTTTGCTTCCATTCTGAATTGTTGGTTCTGGAATTCCCACTTCAATCAAAGAAAACACTTCCCAGACATCATCTAGTATCAACAAATGTCTTGCTCTTCCCATTAAGCTCATTAATTCAGCCGCCCGCCTCTCTTTGTCCTCACCTTTTGGGAGTTCCACAGCAAAAGCACGAGCGATGTTTTCTTGTAATTTGATTACATCGATTGGGTAAGATACAGTGACCCAAATTACTTTATCAAACTTAATCTGCCTCACCAATTCATTATTGATATTTTTCATGATGGTAGTCTTTCCAACCCCACCAATCCCACAAACTCCAATCATTCCAACCTCATTGCCAATCAAGTATCCCCAAATTGTCCCTTTTACAGAATCTTCACCCACTACATTCACAGTTGGCATGATAATTCCACGGGGAGGTTTATCAACTACGAGACCATTAGGAAAACTACCTTGTTCCTGGATGTTTTTCACCACCTCAATTTTCTTGCAAACAAGTCTTCCAACACGGCCCCTTGAGTACCACTTCACTTTCTGAATCTTTCCTTGAATAGCTTGCACTTCATTATTGATTTCTTGCACATGATCAAGCCAACTTTGTACTTCATGTTTCACTTCTTTCCCCAAAGGAAGGACGTCAGTTTGTACTTGTAAATTTATATCATCTTTTCGACTATTTAGAGCTCCCCATTCTCTTCTCAAATTACTCACAGCTTCATCAAAGTTTAAGTGATAATCTAGATAAGTACAGGATGACCTCCCCAAACACTTTACCAATTCCATGATAGGCTCTAGTATAAACTCCATTGAAGAAGACCCTATAAAATGAAACACCGTGTGTAGTAGAATGTATACAACAGCTTCAAAAACAACCCAAGATATATGAATAACTATAGGTTAATAGGATGCAAAAGTAAGGCTAAAAAGTGGAGGGAAAATTGTCACTAGCTCTTTTCGTCACTTAGCTTATCACATAATTTAATTTGCATTCAGTTATTTGTTTGTCATGTATACATTTGAGTTTTCTTTTTCATCAATATACAGTCTAAATAGAGAAACTCTTAAATAGGGAAAAATAATTGAATTAATTTGTAGAAAGTTACCTGATTAAGAAGATAGTTTTGAAGGAAGATGTAGTTGAGTGACTTGATTAGATCTTCTTCTTTCTACAAGTTTGATTGCAACTGAAAAGAAAAAAGAAGATAATATACACCAAAAATGAGTAAATAAAATGAGAAAGCAATGTAGTTGAAAAATTGAGCTAATAAATAATGCAATGATTATTTTTTTTTTTTATGAATATTGACCGTTGTATTCATCAATTTAGAAGCTTTTACAAAAAAAAAAAAAAAAAATTACAACCTGCGCAAGGAAAAGATGGCAAATATTGTTGCTTGCATTTAAAGACCTAAATAAAATGAGTATGGATAACTTACATTATACAAGTTTTACACAAGATTTTCAATCAATTATTTCAATATTTAGAGAATTCATGCAGTTGAGTATAATATTTACTCTTAAAATTTGAACTTGAGGTTCCTTTATTTATATATATATATATATATATATATATATCAAATGATGCATTATATAATAGGCAATAATCCACCTCTTCCCAACCCCTATCCACCACATCTTAAGATTTGTACTCAATGCCTCAAACATAAAAACCCAAGACTTAAACTATTAGAACTTATTCTAGTGGGCACATGCATCCTATCATATTTGAAATGACAATGGGAAGACTAAGAGCCGGATTGTAATATTCTCACCCGTGCCCTTCAAATAATATTTTACTCATACCTCGCTAATATCCTTTTAGTAAAAATATACATTACCTTTATTCTTAGCCTTTTGGGTAATGGGTAATTAGGTAATTTTCATTCATTGTCCTTTGAATTTTTAGTTAAATTTATACTTATAAACTCGAATTTTCAAAATTTTGAATGATAAAATAATTTAATTGTAAATAATTCACTTTGTTTCTTTGAGTAATTGGGTAATTATATAAATAATGCTAAGGCCCTTTTAAGCTCTTAAATCAATCACTTGTTTTCAATTTAGATTAAAAAAAAAAAAGTAAATGAATGACTAGGCACTCAAAGTTTTAATGTCGTAACTTTTAAGCTCTTGAATTTCATATCACTTAAGCTCCAAAATTAAATTTGATATCATTTAAATTTTAGAATCCCTAAACTTGTAAAGAAGGTTGTAAATGGTTGAAATAATACCTTTGCACTCCCTTAATAAATTTTTTTTGATAAAAAAATGTTAAGATCAACGTACAAGTTGTTGGGACTATGTTCTGAAGTTTCATTAAAAATTGAAGGTCTTGTGAGATTTGATTACCAAATTAGATTCCAACTTGAATATCAATGTTGATATGAGAATTATTTTAGGTAATTTCAAATTGATATGAGATTTTGCTCTACTCCAAACCAAACTCCAATATTTCTAATCTATTATGAATGTGTTCTTAACAAAATTAGATGTGTAATATATGTGGTTTAAACCAACCCTTATAAGGTGATGAGTAAGAGCACTTCCACTCTTATTAAGTATCAAAAAGGTGAGAATCCTTCATTGAGAAAGGCTTTTGAGCAATGGGTTGATGAAAGTATGAAAATGTATATTTAAAATATTCTTAACAATTGATATTTGTGAAATTATGGATTTAATAGTAGATTTTTTAATAAATAATTTTATAATTGCAAATATTATTAGTTGTGCAACCTTTTTTGCTTCAAGCTTTAATGATTAAATGGGAAAAATTGAAAGAAAAATGTCTTAAGTAGAAATAAGGTGTTGGAACCTATCACTAGCCTCCAATCCTTGATCATCAAAATGCACAAGAGGGTCAAACACAAAAGAGGTGTCACATCCTATCTCTAGGTTTCAACTCTCAGCTGCTAAAATTACGTAAGGGCTAGACACAAAAGAAGTGTCTCACCCTACCTCCATGTTTCAATTAGAGTGCACACCGAAGAAAAAAAAAATAATTCTCTCAAAGGTTGTTAATCTCTATTACCGAACAATCATACTTTAATCTTAATAGAAATAGGGATCTTAGGAAGTAGGATTAAGATTCTTTTCCCTTTTTTTATCATTCTTATTTTAAACCAAAGAAAAAGAGAATTATATTAAAACATAACTAAATTTTTAACACAATTATGAAGAATTTTGACTATTGAGTTTGACTAATTATTTTATTTTGATTTCTTAAGTGATTTTAGTGTTTAATTTTATTCTTGAAATATTGTTAATTATTTTGAAATTTGGAAACTTTCAACATGATTATGTTTTGATAAATTAATTCTATTGATTTAAATAAAAGAAAAATATCTTTTAGTTTTTACTCAGACTATTTTCTTGTAAAAACGCTTTTCTACTTTTTTTTTTTTTTTGTGGTCCTATTTTCATGAACTAATCAATACTATTGATTAAATTTTGCTGCAATTAAGACTTAAATGCATTGAGGCATTGAAAAATGAGTGTAAAGATAATAAAATTTTATTACTGTCCAGATAACTCTTTTATTCACTAATTAATTTTAATTTTTTCTTTAAAATTAAATTTCAAGATAAATCCAACTTAAAATCTTACTTAAATCTAATTTGAATCTTTTAATAAAAAGCTCTTTTAAATTGTACTATTTATTTAAAATTCAAAATTTCTTTTATCAAATTTTCTATTTAATTTCGCAATTAATTTCATTATAACATGATATTTGATTTCAATAATTCAAAATTTCTTTTATCAAATTTTCTATTTAATTTCGCAATTAATTTCATTATAACATGCTATTTGATTTCATTTTTTTTCTATGCTACATTCAATTTCAAATTGTTATCTCATCAAATCTATTTTCAATTCCAATTTCAAATTGTTATCTCACTGAATCTAAAATCAATCTTCAGTAGTGATTATCCTTTTTTATTATTAAATTTTTAATTTAAATTCACAATTAATCTCATTGTGATATCCTTTTCAATTTCAATTTTTTTCTCCTAAATTCAATTTCAAAGTGTTATCTCACCAAATTTATTTTCAATATTAATTTCAAATCGTTATCTCACTTCATCTAAATTCAATCTCCAATAGTGATCATCTTTTTCTTTTTTTATTCTCAATATTAAATTTTCCTCCAACAACCATAGGGGTAAATATCAAAAAATATATAATAAAAAATTATTTGAATTTAAGATTAAATTTTGTACTCCTATTTTTTCTTGTAAATAAATGCATTAACATAACTTTAAAAAGAAAAAGTGAGAAAAAAATAAAAGAAAATAAATTAACTACAATTAAATGTTTATGAACTTAATCCATAGACAACAAAATGAAAGTACAATTAAATGTTCATGGTCTTAATTCAAAAAGAATTTCCCTATTTGCAAAATTACTACTCAACTAAAATGATATTAATTAGCATAATTTTTCTTCTAAGTAAGAATGCTCTAATTGTTCAAAATTTTAAAGAACAAAAAAAAAATAAAATTAATGATTATAAATATAAAACAAAATCCCGAAACACGAACCACTAAGTAAGTCGTATATATTTAATAAAGTATCGTACCTGGTTTGACAATTGTTAATAAGACAAAGAATGAAGAACCAGACGCTATTATTAATTGCAGATCTTTGGTCCTGAAACAGCTGAGACCAAGAGGAAAAAATATATATAAATCATAAAATAGATGAAAATAGAAAAATATATGAAAAGAGATGGGTTCACTTTCCTTAACAGAAATTGATTTTTGAAAAATAGTTAAGTGGTGGGATGGTAATTTAAACTCAATAAGTATCTAGAGTATAGGCCAAATTTTAGTTCAAGGCCCAAGTTAATGAAGATGGGTTTTTATTTTTATAACAAGTAATAATTAAGTTTTTAAGTCCAAGTAAAGATAGGAAACTCAATAATTTATAAATAGTAACCCTAAAAGAATTGTAAGGGGTTAATGTCATTGTACTCAGTTTTGGTATTGTGAAAGCACTCTCTTTGTGCATGATATTTTTCTTTTTAGGGTTTTCCAGGTAAACCATATGTTACTCTTCAGCTTACATTTCTTTTGCATTTACGATAAGTAAAATGACTTATTGATGTATGAATATAAGAAATAAAATGTATATTAACAAGTTATCATAACACTAATTTTAGAAAGTCCTTTTCCACAGAGCAAGTAGAGGATTAGCCTATGAGATTTAATTTACTTCTTCACCTTGAAGAGAGCGTAATTATAGCATAAAAAAATAAATTATAGCAAAGATTTATACCTTCAGGTTTTGCCTCTATCTGATGACCT